TGAAGGAACATGGGGTGAACTTGCAGATGATTCTTGCTATCTGATATGGAAGAATAGAGCAAAATTGTCAAGCATCTTCAAAGAAACTTGCATAAAGGCATTCTTAAGAACACATTTGTGAAAAAAAGAGACGAACAGATGATAAATTACAGCTGCATACTTTGGAGTGTGACTTTGGAACCAAGCACCCCATCATACTTCCCAGCTTTCCAGAACTGGCGGCAGACTGGTGCTGGAGATAAAGTTGCCACTGAAGAAACAACTGTATCATCCACTGGAGAATGTCCTTGCTCCAACACACTATTGCTGCTATTCCCAGCACTGAAAGCAATTGAGCTTCTATTTTCTTCAGATTCTTGTGCTCTAGGTCTATCAAGCTTAGGTGCCTGGGCCTTCTGGTGGTGTTTTTGCTTCACTATGCCCCCAATAATACTTGGCTCCACAATGACAGGTTTCACATCTACCTCCCCAAGATCATCATCACTACTCAAATCCACTATGTCTGCACGGTTCATCTTAACAACTGAAAGAGAAACAAAACATGCAACTAAGAAAGTAAGAATGCGCTCAAAACACAATGCAAGCAAGCCTAACTTGAAAAAAAATATATATATATATATAATAATAAAAAAAAAAAATCAAATACACACAATGCATCAAATGAAGAGATCTTTTTAATACTTTTCACATCATCTAAGGAAAAAAAAAAGAAACCCGAGAACCGAAGAACACAGACAATGAGCAGAACCACTGAATTCTTGAATTGCAGCTTGAAAACAATCTTAAATTAAAAATAACTGAATAAAAGAAAAACAATATTCAAGAAAATGTGGGTTCTTTACCTTTTAGTAAAGAGATTCAGGTATAATAACTGTAACAGAAAAACTGACCAACTTCTTGACCCTAAACTTAAACTGTGAAAATCTTTGAACAAAGAACGTCAAAACAGACAAAAACATAACAGAAGATCTTTGTCTTGTTACAATTGCCCTGGGGGAAGTACATGTGAAGCCCTCATGTCTCAAATCCTATAAGCCCCCAAGCAAAAAGGAGCATACTTTAGGAGATTTTTTTTTTTTTTAATTTTGGGAAATTAAAGCATTGAGAAATTGAAAATCTATGAAGTTGCCATGGTCACAAGCAAAGAGAAGTCAAGTTCGGTTAGCTCACTTAGATTCGGAAAATCCTTTTTACTACGTGGAATCTAAGGAGAACTTTCGTCTAGTGGCTCGGTTGCGTAATTTAGGTTCGGAGCAATTACTTTTCTGTGGGGTTAAATAATGGTTAAATTAATATTTTTTTCCATGGTTAGATTAATTTTTAATCTAATAAATTATTAATTGAACCAAAACTTCTATTAAATAATAACTTCTTTTAATAATCCAAAACGAGTGATTAGAAGGTTCAAAGGGAAGTTATAAATTAGCTAAAGATGGAAAAAAGTTAAACAAGTTAAGGATTTAAAATTAATTATGGATTAAAATGTACTTCTATCAAATAATATGATTTCTGTGGTGCGATATAGCATAAAAATTTTCTTTAAAAAAAACCTAACTTTGGCATGTAAACCATTTTCTTTTTTCCTTTTTAGATAAGTTCAGGGAAAAATAACTTCCTAAACTAAACTAGAGTTGTTTTGTATAGGTTTGTGTGTTAAATTTCATTTTTATGCCTCAAATGGACAAAATGATAAAAACAAAAAAGTGCCAAAGAATTGGTGATTGCATTAATGATATCTCAATAACGATGAGCAGGCACTAGGGACATGAGATGAGAAGGAGAAATGGAGCAGCAACAAGCCCACATCCAAATTCTCTCAAGCCTTCTATTATTATATCAACTTCAAAGTTCAAACAATAAAGCTCCGAGAGGAAGGAGAAGATAGAAAAGGGACAGATATGAAGGCAGAGCTCTTCTGTTTGTGTAACATGGAAAGAAATAAAAAATGGTGAAATTCTCATTTTTCTTATTTGGGGTTAATGTGTGGAAAATAAGACATAAATTACAAATTAATCTGGGAAAAGGAAAAATCAGTCCAAATTGAATCAGTCCAAACAAATTTTCTACTTTATTCTAGAGTCATATCACCTCCTCTGTAATTATACAATTACTTTAATATCCTTTCTAATACTTAAATTTTGTCTCGATTGATTTCAACATGGACTGATTTCTCCTTCCCCTTTTAATATTACAATTGTTATTTTTGTACAAAGGAACTATGCATGATACAAAAACAAGCTATTCCGAGAAGCAAAAGCAATCAAGTTTGTGGTTGGATGCCATGCTAGATGTTGTAGCTTACAGCTCAAGTTACCCAAAAAGTCATTGCTGCTAAGGCTGGTGTTTTCATGCCCTGCAATAATTAGAAGAAACAACATTGGGGAAGCTGCTTGGGAATCTGATTTCACATTCATCTGCTTTACTGAAAAAATTGTTAAACTCAACGGCCTCACAATGCACAATGCATTAGACAAAGACAAAACAAGAGGGGGGAAAGGGGAATAGAAGGAACTTGTACCTTGTCTGTGAAACCTGCGTGTTAGGTTACTTAAGGATGATCTTCTTGACTTAAGGGTAGTTTGGAGAGGCAGCTTCCTGTTTTCAATTTTCAAAGAGCTGCAATTCAGGTCAGAAAAGAAAAAAGATGGACTGGAGTTTCCTGCGATACATTCTGAACAATTGTAGCAACAAACATGCAATCTAGAACAAGGAGATTCAGCATCATGGAATGACCAGGTCACGAAAGTCATCTTTGCAAAAAAAAAATTGCGTGACTGCCTTCACATAATAGTTTCAGTTCCTCTAATTTAATTCATTTATTTATCAAAATCATGAATTTACTCCAGACCATTATTCCTTTGCTGTCCCCATAGGAAGAAAGTTCGTAAAAGCTACCATGAGCTAAGGAGTAAGGGACTAAGGGAAAATGGAAAAGAGAGAGAAAAAGAAAATGAAAGAGCTGACCTGTCTGGAATTTTGCTGGCTTCTATTGTAATCCCTTTTTCACTTCCATTACCATGGGAAAAGACATGAAGAAGATTGCTAATCCAAGATGACAGAGTGAGTCATTAGAATTGCATTAGCACAAGGTAATTGATAACAGCACCTGAGATGAGTAAATATGTAACTGCATCATTGAATACACACCTATAAGATCCAGTTGCAAAATGAATTCCATCTCCACTGAAGCAGCATTCAAATTTGTCAAATATAGAGTCCTTATCATACAAATCACATAACTGCACAATGAATTCTAAAGCTGTTAGCCACCAGTGGCATGGTAGTAATACAATTCATGAAATTATCAAAGTGAAATTATTTAGAGATGTCATCACTTCAAAACAATTCCAATAACTATGCATGAAGGTATTAGGTTGGAGGATCAATTACCCTAGTCAAATCTCAACATGGAAAGGCTTTGATTATGATGCTCAAGAATCTTGCCTGTTCAAGAAATTACTTTTCTAAATGTACCAAAAAAAAAAAAATTTACTTTTTCTAGGATAAACAAAAATATATGATAATCTACAAAAATTCTGTCATTTTTCTTTTAGGTTGAGAAAGTTATCCATAACCATTTATTGTGAAATCACAAAACATTATTAGACCAATAACTAACAGTTGCTGCTAATAAGGAGAGCTATATCAGTATATTAGTATTTAAGGACATCTAGGGACCAAAAGTTAAGACTTTATTCAGTCAATCAACAAGCCAGCAGTGACCTAGAGGAAAAGTTAAACATATATTATTCAGGTTTGATTGAGTAATTTGTTCTTCTGACTCACATTATTCCATCCTCCTTCCCTCCCTAACTAAAATAAGTTTACATGTATTATTCAGATATCATACATTAACCTCCAGTACAGCCATCTTACCTTAGGGCGCAGATGCTCATGGATGTTAAATATTGCAATTGGTGAAGAACCTTTCCGTATATCCCACAGCTAAAACAATGAAGAGCATCAGTTAGTAGAACTGTAGAAGACAGCAGGAAATGCACTTTGTCATTAAAATGATATCTGCTTATCCACTGATCAGTAGGTTTTTGGGTCCACTCATCTCACTATTCAATAACTGTAAAGGTGTCTGAAACAAAATTACACATAAAGGCAGAATTCTGGGCAGAAATCCAACGGCCTTGTGATGGAAGAGATTATAAGGTTCCTCAAGAGGAAGAAATTTTATCATGTTCTTGCTATTATCCCAATAAAGAATATCAAAACCACTATAAGAATTTAGTGACCAACTTATTGTAGGGGAGTATCCTGTGTTCCTGAAATTTTATCAAGTGTTTGCTGTTCCACACTGTTTTTCTAATACAATAAGGTAAGAGTTTAAAATATAAAAAATATGTTAAAAGGAAATTATAAACTCCATTTTGAGTTTGACAAACATATACATCTCATCTCCCCAGAGGAGCATCAAAAGACAGAAGGATAGTTACAAGTAAAAATCATGCACAATTCTGTATAAAAGACCTTTAGGTTCATGTAATCACGACTTAAGATGTGCTGTCCATCACTTGAGAATTTAACATCAGATATGGCTGCCACAATCTCAGTGAAAAATGATCTTGGTGCAGTGCATTCTGTGTCCTTCATTCTGTATTGAGTAGTAAAAAAAAACCTACAAAGTCTAGCATAATAAATCATGGAGCAGGGGATGAAAAACAAATTGAATCACAACTCACATTCTTGCATTATCGTCACATAATGCTGATTGCCGCATGTCAACTAAACGAATAAAACCTCTTGAGCTGCTATATGCTAGCAGATTACAGTGATTTGGATGGAATTCAGCTGATGTTATTACCTCTGAATAAAGACATGAGGGGTTAGAGATACGAGGTAACAGAAAGAGAAATAACTAGACTGAAGTTCTGAGTAATGGAGGGTTGAAATCATTATATCAGCATCTAAACTTATCTGAACATGTCCAAGTTTTACCACTAGAGTGGAGAGTATGAAGGTTTACAAGAGAGCTAAATAGTGTTTTTTGCTATGGCTCAAAATTTTCCCTGATCCTTGGTAAGGCTTTGTGGTACATATTTTGCAATTTATTGTCTCCCATGTCTCAATTGCTCCATGTTCATCGGTAAAAAGACAAAACAAGGATCTTAAAATAGTTCAATCTATTATGCATAAGAATTGGAAAATAAAAGTTTCCCAGAAAGTACACACCATATGTTGCATTTAGAGGTGGAACAAAATTACCAGTAAGATCCTCCATGTTTGATGGCTTCATGTCAATAATATTGAAACACTGATTATTGATTTCAAGATTCCACAAGTTTATTCTAAGGTCATCAGCAGACAAAAATGTTTCACCATCACTGTAGAAAGATTGAGAAACTAGATTATCATCTTAGATGCAACAAACGATTTATATTCTTTTCAGCAGCTGTTCTGAATTACTTGCTTATTTACAAAACTGAGGAAAGGGTATATTTCTTGATTACCTCCTTTTGCACAAGGAGAAGAATCTTGAGCTAGAAAAGAATTAAAAGTGCATTATAAACATAGAAGTTGAAGAATTTACCTGTTGTACGAAATTGAGTTGACATTGAAATCATGAGCCTGACCATAGACCTTCTGACATCTTGCATAAGCAGTATCTTCATTGTTATCAATCTAGCCAGGGAACCAACTAGTAAAATAACTTTCATATAGAACAGACAAGAGAAGTAGCTTTATACAAGCTTTTGCAATTACCATGATCCAGAAATACCTACCTTAGCATGCAATTCCTGAGATGGAAATAGGTCGTCAGTCACATTCTCTTTCCACCCCAGGTAATTTCCATTGCTAAAAGAAGGTAAGTTTTGAGGTACATGTTGCTCGCTCCTAAAACTCCTTTCAGCCAACAGAGTATTTTCAGAAAAGATACGTTGGTGAAGATCCATCTCCTTTACCTTTTTCACCTTCTGGTCTTTTACCTGACCTCAAAAACAACAAGATTATATGTGAGTAATATGTAATGCCACAACCATCATGACAATATGGAAAAAGTGCTTAAAGAGAGTGGTGTTGAATTTAATGTTAGACAATGATCAATAAATAGGGGGCTGGGGGAGATCGAAAGAAAAGCAAAGCATTGTGTCTTTTGCAGAGACAGACAAATTTTCTCTAATTGAAAATGCTTGTGAAAGTGAAAGTTGCATTTTGAAAACTCGCAAACTCTCCATAAAAAATCATTCCTAGCATAGCCCATGTTTGATCACATTACACTTGTCAAAATCCTTATGGATCAAATATCATTCTTTATACCAACGGCCTTTGGCAATCATGTGACAACATCGCAGCGTCAAATTCAGTTCTTTCAATGAAATTAATGAATTCAATTATAAAATTATTACGGGTTTTCAGTCATTTCAACCTTAATCTTTCTGAATGTTGTATAGAAAAGTATAGAAAAGTATACCATTATGAACAACAATGGCATATGGCATGGTGGATTGGAGTTATTAAACATAAAAACACATACCTTCCATAATTTAATTGTCTTATCATTTGTTGAAAGGATAAAGAGGGATCCATTGGACACTGTACACCATTTCACTTTGTTAATTTTCTCTTCTATCTCCACACTCTTCAAGTAATCAAACTACAGAAAAGAAAACACTGAAAGGAATTACATCACAAGCAGAAGCCTTCATTGAAGGCAAAAGCATAGTGTACCTGAGATGAGATGACATGTCATACTCAGTATTAAGGCATACCTCAGGCTCATGACTTTGAAATTCCATCTTATATTGGTATTCTGGATGCTGCAAAGTGACAGAATCTACCTGCTCCAGCTCATTTCTAGAGAGGTATCTGTTTGATGTCTAAGAAGCCAATAAGCAAGGATAAAAGATCATAAAACAAGAATCGCGAATTCCGAAAAAGGGGTTAGTAGCTAGTTGGCATATAAGAAGTAAAATATGAGAAACTCTCACTTGTTTCCCATCCTTTCTCTCAAAAATCACGACACGGCCACCTTGATCTCCCACAGCTAGATAATCCCCTCTCTTCTCGAATTCAAGAGTGGATACAATATCAACTGAAATAAAAAATGAGTGCCATAATTGTTGAAAATATGTATCATAACAATCTGAAATTTGCAACAAAAAGCTCCAAGAGAACAGTTAATATAACATAGGAAAATATCATAAACTGGCATAACCTCAAACACAAATTCATCCATACATATATAATCAGCGAGTAAGCAAGCAAGTACTACTATGTTACATACATAAACATATGTATGAATAAGCATACGGAGGGAGAAGGCAGGCCTAACCATTTTGTATTTCTTCGCCGGGGCTACTTTCTCCGAAAACCTGAGAAAACGTCCACTCAAGAGGTTGGTGTGAGCAGCTAAAAGTCATGGATGCTCAGCTGGTTCGTTAAACGGAGTTGGTTCTGGCCATCATCTCCGGCGAATTCTCGACTACCGGGAAAAAGACAGAACGACAATTACAGGCGACTCAGATTCCGAATTCTGATTCTCGTCCTCTCTGCAATCACATCATCACTTTCTTCTCTCTTTTATCCTCTACTCTTTTCTTATATGAGCAGTGCCAGGGGCACTCGCTTTTTGCACTCTCCGGCCAACACTTCCCCTTTCATTGGGCCACGTAAGCTTCTTAAAAGCTTTCAGGCGAATCTCTCGGAAACCAAAATAACGTGGCCCAATAAAAGAGAAAGTGTTCGCCGGAGAGTGCAGGAGGCGAGTGCCCCTAGCATTGCTCTTCTTATATTTCAATTCAACGGAAAAATGGAATAGGGACATCTCTGGCTGATCCAGAGGCCTAGCCCAGGCCCAACGAGGGCCTCGACTTGAGAATAATAATTGAGCTTAGCCCACAACCTCTTGATCTATATTCCATTATAGTTCAGAAAAGGTCCAAAACAAAACATTTATAGTATATCTAGTTTGAAAATTTATTATTATTTTTGGTACATCAGAAGCTATCAAAAGCTTAGTTTCTAAAGAACATAGTTCCAGTACAATCGTTCTGCAAAATCATACTAATATCCATTGTGGGGTTGGAAAAAGGGTAGTACCCAACTCAAGATTATGCCCAATGGAGGCCATATAGTCAGCAGTTGAATTACCTTCCCTGAGAGTGTGATGCACCAAGCAGGAAGTGAAAGAGTCAAGTAACAAGAAGATATCAGAGAGAAGCATTGAAGCTGCTCTAGTTGATACCTTTCGAGACTAAATTAGTTGTATTGCCAGCAAGGAATCCATTTCCAGCAGGATTAACTGCTGCACTCCAAGGGAAATAGCAAGCTTAAGGCCTCCTATACATTCCCATAATTCAGACAAAAAGCTTGTGGTAATGCCCACATTTATAGCAAACCCATGCTGCCAGCGTGCATAGTGATCACGAAGAAGTCCCCCTGCGACTGCCTTACTTGAACTATGATCTTGTGATCCATTTGTATTAAGTTTAAGGAAGTGCTGGGGTGGAGGGGTCCAACTAACCCATTTGGGGGTTTTTAAGGGGAGGGTCGGCTTAGCCTCAAAAGCAAGCTTTGTTTCCAAAGGCCAATTTGCTTGCTTGCTGAGTGACAATTAGCGGTGGGATCCTTTGCGCCTCAAATATTAGCCTGTTTCTGCTTTTCCACAAATATCAGATAGTTGCAAGGAAGATGCTCGACAATGAGGCTGAAGCACGGGGTCCCATCTTTGGTTTAGAAGAGTCTGTTCAATTTAGGGAAAAGTCTAAAACAAGACATTTATGATATATTTAGTTTGAGGGAAGATGAGGATTTTTTTATTAATTAAATTATAATATTTTTAATTTATCAAAAAAAAATTTCTTTTCTCTCCTTCATTCTTATCAAACTAAACATATTAATTGAATAAAAACTTCATTTATATTCAAGTATCATTTTATAAATCAAATTTTAGATTCAAATCTAGAGTATAATTGATAAAAAAATTAATTTTCTTAAATGTATAGAGTGAGGTAAGGTGGGGTGGAATAAAAAAAGATTAACCCTAAAAATATAAATCGACTTGTAAACATCCAGTCACTAAACCAAAAGCGGTCAAAACTTGAAGTATTTCGATAGAAAAATTTGTCATTATTTTTCCAAAATAAAAAGATTAAATTTATGTGCTTAAATGTTGTTTTGTATCTACTATTTAAATTTTCTTATAAACTATTATATTTAAAATTAATAATTATAAAAGAGAATAATTTATTATATTTTTAATACATAAATTTATTATTAAAACCCTAATCAAATCCCATACCGTCAAAGTGTGCGCACCCTCTAGTCCAGTATATATATAGATTATTCTTCATTAATAAAAGGTCCATATAAACCCTCCACAACATCAATTTGCATCTTCTCCGGTGGGTTCCAATGCCGTTTCCTTTGGTTTATAAACCAGTTGTTGATCTGTTTGGGATCCAGTCCAGTTGACACCGTCAGGATTGCCTTGTCCGATTCCTGCAGCACTAACAACCTGTAATTAATTAGATCTCAAATCTAAATAAACTTTTAACCAAACTATACAAAGAAATCAGAATGATTAATGACTCTCATCTCATGCAGTCTGATTTCATAATAATAATATTTATGATGATTGCTACACTTCACATCAAGCTAGCAGAGCGCAAGAAATTAGAATCAATCAATAAATATATATACATATACACACGAGGAGAAAAAATTTATTTATATATAAAATTTACATATTATATTTATATAAAATTTTAAAAATTTATTTATTTATTTTTAATTGTTGAGATTTATTATAATTTTTTAAATAAAAAATAATTATATTTAATAAATGTGAGTATTTTAATTATTAAAAGTAAAAAAATAAATGATTAAAATTTTATATAATTGTAATGTGTAAAATTTACTTATAAGTAAATCCCTATTATATATATATATATATATAACCATTCATTATATATATTACGCACCGTGGGATATGGCCATTGGTAGTTAACATTCCACCAGTTGAGCAATATTTGCCTGGACTCTTTTGGTAGCTTCCCTTTCTTCTTATTGCTTTTTGAAAATTCATGCTTCAAATTACTAATATAACCCCTGTATTTTTGCAGGAGCTTCTCTTTCAGCTGGGAGTCTTGGTTGATCTGAAAACTTTCCAGCTCACCCCCACTCAAGTCTTCTTCAGATGATGCAGCAGCAGCAGCAGCAGCAGCAGCAGCTTCTTCTGGCATTAATTCAGCAACAACATACAGAAGCAGTTTATTTCACAAATTAAGTGAAGTTTTGAGTTTCAACTTTAATTGAAGCTCTCTGCAATCACATCATCACTTTCTTCTCTCTTTTATCCTCTACTCTTTTCTTATATGAGCAGTGCTAGGGGCACTCGCTTTTTGCACTCTCC